AAATTAATTTTATTATGTTGCAGGTATATACAGCAAAACACTTGCCAGTTCAACACTTCCTATATGATTGCACACTTCATGTTATGCCACCCTTATCCCTATATTTTTGCTAATTTTTCCGCCATATGTGGCGCTGTAAGATTAGCATTGGACTGTGAACCACGGTTCAAATCCACCAACTGATCCTTGGAACCGCTTCGATAGCACTTAACAATAACAACAATGTAGACTTAATGCCTGACCACTGTAAGACATTTTGTATCCTTGTTAAAATGGTGTAACTGGAGATTTTTATCTCCTGTAACATAATGTGGGGGAAGAAGCAGCATCAGCCCAAAGATGATTCCTATGAAGCAGAGGTCAGATATGTATCCTGTCCTGCTACGTTTTTGTCAATTCTGATACCAACTGCCCTTCCCGTAGCACTATGCTTTTGTGCAGGGTTTGATAGTTTGTTGTTAACAGCTGCACATTACAACACTGACAATCCAGAATTAGGAAAGACTAATGACAGTTCTTTGGTCCGGATAGTCTCTTATCTGCCCCTGCAGGCAGGCCCATGAACTCTTTAGCTCTAGTGATAAGTGCCCAGAGACATTCCACTCCATTAGTATTCCTCTTGTACAAAGGCACTCTGTTCTATTGCTCCTTGGGTTGGCAAGCCTACCTTCAAGGACAAATGCCTGGGGGTTCCCCACTCTGTTAGCAAGTGGTTCTGCCCAAAGACACTCAACTTTGTGGCCTGTCTTGGTCTCCCGGTTCTGCAGTCTGCTGACACTGTTTTTTGCCACTGCTTCTCACTGTCTCTCAGGCCTCTACTCTGGTGTTGCAGCTTTCTGTCTCTTGGGTCTAGGAGGTTCTCAGCACAGGAACCCCAGGTCCAAGGATGTGCTCGTTTACTCTCTCTCCTTGATGGTAGTCAGGTTACCCCTACCATCTGCTTCTGAGATGTTTCATTTCAAGCCTAGTGGAATGACTAAACTGACCAATTCCTTTGTTGGTGTTCCATACACTTATTTGTATGGTTCAAACCCCACAAGAATGCTGTGCACTTTATATATAGCAACTAATTATCTGGCTCCCTTGGTGGGCCACAATTACCTTATTTGCATAGTCCTACCCAGTATTTTGATGGAAATTGCAATACCATGGCAAAAAAGGCCACATAGAACCCTCCACTTCCCTTTCCCATAGGATCGAAACAATGATCTGGGTAGTCTAATGATCATAAAGTAACACTGATCCTTGGTGTTTTTGTAGCATATGGGATAATTTCAAGCAGGTTTTCATCATCCATCAAGATTGAACTCACAGAATTTGTTTCATTGCTGGGGTTAATCTTAGAAGAGCCCAAAGGGATGAATAAATTGTGTGAAACTCTAAGCAGCTAGTATAGCATAAACTAGATTATTACTGTATTTGGGGAAGGGATGTAGTGTATAGCTTTGTTGTCTATTGATTATTAAAAGTAATCTCTTTTTTTCAAAAAAAGAGCCATATAAAAAAAGACCTATCATACCTTAATCATATATAGGGCTAATTTGAAAGCAGAGAATATTGGCATGTATTTGTGCTTAAGTCTTATTTGCTCAGAAAGATGGGTTCTTTAATGTGGATTTCAAGTTATTAACATGTAAAAAGTTTCTAGGTAAAAACTGAATTTTGTATTCTGTTTAATCGTTCTTTTTGATATGAAACCAAATGCATGGGATCATTTATTTTTAGCCCAGATGATCAAATAGAAAAGGAAAAAAAAAAGATGATATTTGATAGAAATTTAACATAGTACTTATTTTCCTTTTATTTAAAAAATGTTTGTTTGTATGGTATAATGCCTGATAATCTATCCATCATGTTTGCCAGGTCCTTAGTAAATATTTATTTATTTATTTGTAAAAGTAAATCCAGTATTTATTATTACTGTATGTATCCTCCCATCCCCCAACCACCTGAATGTGAAGCACAGTGCTAGGCACTCCTGATATACACTGTTGTAAACCTCGTGTAGCTCTAAGAAGTAGAATGAACAAGTTATGGCACCATTATTTGGATGAGGAGGTTTCTGGGTGGTACAAACCGTTTATACTCAACAATATGAGATTACAAACCTACAGGAGTCCTGGGTGGTGCTGTAGTGTAAACACTGGACTGCTGACCAAAAGGTCAGTAGTTTAAATCCATAGCTGTTCCTTGAAACCCTATACCCTGTACAGGGTCACTGGGAGTCAGAGCTGACTTGATGGCACTTAACAACATTAACCTATAGGTTGTCTAGTTGAACCCATGCAGCCTTTGTGTGGAAATCCTTAAGTAAGTGAGAGCTGGAGAGATCAGTCATTTACCCAATTTTGCCCCCTTTTCTTTATTTTAAAGTCCATTATTGTCAAGTTGATTCTGACTCAAGTGACCCTATAGGACAGCAGAACTGCCTCATAAGATTTCCAAGGCTGTAGTCTTTATGGGAGTCCTGGTTTGGTGCTGTAGGATAAGCACTAGACTGCTGACTGAAAGGCAGGTTGTTCAAGTGTACCAGCTGCTCTTTGAAACCTTGTACAGGCTTGCTATGAGTCAGAACGGATGCAGCGGCACCTAACAATGACAACACAATTTTTATGGAAGCACACTGCCACATCTTTCTCCTGCAGAGTGGCTGGTAGGTTTGAACTGTCAACCTTTTGGTTAGCAGCAGAGTGCTTAACCACTCCACCTATCTGTGCTTCTTTCCTAATTACAACATTTATAAATGGCAGAGTCAGGTTCAAATCCTGCTTTTCTCAATCGCTGGCTATGTAATTATAGTTATGATGACTTTTCAAATTGTTGTATTCAAGGACTTGTTAAGATAGCATTAGCTTTATTTGGCATTCTAATGAAGTTTCTTGACATGCTTTAAATGTAAAGAATTATTTTTAGGTAGTGCTTTTTTTTTTTTTAATGGATCAGGCAAAACCTTTATTTATTTTTAAAAGCAGTTCATTAGGATTCACTGAACTATGGCTTTTATTGGAGAATACTTTTGAAAATCTTACTATTTTTAAAAGAGATTATATTGTAGATTTTATATATATATTTATTGTGAACTGAGTGATCGTGTATATGGGAGATCATCAGCTTTACACCATCATTTCATTGCAATGATTACAGTCTCTTTCATGTATCATTCAACAGTATTAGCTTCCATTCCCTCTGCTTTTCTTTTCTTTTTGGGGGGTGGGGGTGGGGAGAGGTACACAAAATACTCAGGAATATATAATAGTTTAAACAACCAAAGGGCACATTCTGCAAGTCTGCCTTCTGGCTGCCAGCACTCAGTCCCTCTCTTGCCATGAGTCTCCCTCTCTCATGTCCTCATCTCTGCCTCCATCTCTGGTGTTGATGCTTCTCTGGATAGGTTCTTGCATTCCGCTGTGCTCTTCTCCCTTGATGGTCCTGGATTATAAGATTAACTACTCCCCTGTTTTTGTTACAAAACTTCTTAGGTAGTGCTTTTAACCCACTATAAAACTGTTTATAGGATATACAGATAATACTAAAATCTGGTCCAGGAGATGTAGAGTTGTTGTTAAGTGCCGTCGAATCGATTCCGACCCACAGTGACCCTGTGTAGGGTTTCCAAGGAACAGCTGGTGAGCTTGTACCACTGACCTTGCAGTTCAGAAGACTTTGCAGTCTGACGCATTAGCCCACAGTGCCACACCAGGACTCCATGAGAGGTAGTAGTCATGTTTAATGGTGTTTAAATATCTAATTACAAAGCAACAATAATTAAATTTCACCCAACTTCTGGTAGTTAGCTTGTAGGATTGACTCATTCTTGCCATAGTAAAAGAGGATAAAGATTTGGAGCTTAGGAAACTATATTGTCAATTTAGGTCCATTCTTCTCTCAAAACTCCCTATGCATCTTATAAGAAGGGATCCAGTAAATAACTCTATAGGGTCTGAAAGGAGAAGAGTATCACAATTATTGCTTAGAGATAGGGTTTGTTTAGAGTGCAGATTTCCCATAAGATTAAATGGTAATATTTGCTTCTTTAGGCAGTTGCATCCTCTTGACACTGTGAGTGGTCTCCTGAATCTCTCATTGCTCTATCATGTTTGGCTGTGTGGTGTCTTTCTCCTTACCACGTGGTACATCTCTTGGATGCTCTTCAAGATCTATGCTACAGAGGTTAGTATTGAATTTCTTGTTCATATTTTTTACATTTTGGAGTGCACAGATTAATTGGTTAGTAGAACACTGATAAGCAGCGTGCTATGCCAAAGCCATAATGATGTTAGGGTTACGTCTCACTTTTTAGGGGCATATCATTTATAATTGACATTAACTTTGTATTTTTTTCTGAGAGACCATGTTAAGTGTTCATTTAATTTTTGGAAGCTAAACTGATTGGGCTTCTTCTGGTACTAGTGGACTATGCTTTATGTAGTTCTCGGAGACTTCCATTTCTCTTGAGTACATAGTAAACGGGCCTGAATTTAAAATTTTTATATGCTTTTAGTATGCAGTTTTTTGTCAATTTGGTTCCGACTCATAGTGACCCTGTAGGACTGCAAGCCACAAGGTTTGTGGTTTGAACCTGCCAGCCAGTCTGCAAGAGAAAGATGAGGCTTTCTGCTGCCATAACTATTTATAGCCACAGAAACCCTATGCATGGTTGATGTGAGTCGCAATGACTCAATGGCAGGGGGTAGGTTTCAGAAAATGTGTCTGAAATTTGTTTCTGTTCTTGGATGTCCGACTTCTAATAAAATTAGGACAGTAACATTTTAAACAGTAGTGAGTTGGGGTTTATATAGCTGTAGGTAACCTATTTTTGCAAGAAGCAGTAAAGATGTTAATTTAGCTGTATTATCTCCTTTCATAATAAATTATAATAAAGGTATGAAAATAATCATTTTCATAGTTTTTCTTTCTGATTATATTTGATAGGCTCATGTCTTCCCTGTCCAGCCACCATTTGCAGAAGAGTCAGATGAATGCCTCCCTCAAGTTTTAAACAGCAATCCTCCCCTCATCATAAAGGTGTCAGAACTGTGCATTTTGTGTCTTTACACAGTCATCTCTAACTTAACAGAATGGGCCTAGTGTTTAACATATCTAGATATTTTTGAGGACCTACCATATTATGAACCGACTCGACGGCACTTAACAACAACCATATTATAGGAGTCCTGATGTGGCACTGTAGGATAAAGCACTAGACTGCAAGATTGGTTTGAATTGCAAGGTCAGAGGTTCAAATTCACCAGACGCTCTTCAGAAACCTATGGTGCATCGGAACTGACTCCATGGCAGTTCACCACCACCACAACAACAACCATATTCTAATAAGGAGCCCTGGTAGTAGTGTATTGGTTACGTGGTGGGCTGTTAACTGAAAGGTCAGCAGTTTGAAGCCACCAGCTGTTCTTCAGAAGAGGCTTTCTAGTCTCGTAAAGATTTACTGCTTCGGAAACACTGTCCAGGGTCACTATGAGTCAGAACTGACTTGATGGCACACTACCACCACCGTCACCATCACCACCAAATTCTAATACTGGTGGTGGTGGTGGTGGTGGTTGTGTGCCGTGGAGTCAATTCTGACTCAGCGACTCTGTACAGGGTTTCCAAGGCTATAAATCTTTACGGGAGCAGAAAGTCTCATCTTTCTCTCGCGGAACTGCTGATAGTTCTGAACTGCTGACCTTGAGGTAAGCAACCGAACTTATAACCACTATGTTACCAGATCTCCTACTGGTATTGTAAAAATCACCTACTTGCCACATTGAATGCTGTTTATATTTTCAGTTTTCATTTTAAGTGAATAAAGTGCAAATATGTATTGCAGTGCTATATATACAATCTATCTAATGGGATCAACACTCAGAATAAACATACAAATATTTTTAGGCATAAAAAATATGATGACATGTAACATTAGCTTTTCACAAACTTTGGTAACAATTGAAAACACTGTTGGATTTATCAGTGGGTCCACATATATTTTTGTACTCATACAGTATTTGTTGCATGTCTACTGTCTTTGGATGTGGTAAGCAAGGAAGGTGTCCTGCTTTCTGGGCCTCACTGTTGGTGGGTAGAACCAGACAGAACAAGTGAGCAGTTGTAACAGTATGTAAGTATCTCAACTGAGAGCTCTCTGAGTGTGTATGTTTGTAGCAGGAGGCTAAGGAGGATCCAGGAGGAAATGGTTGTTTCCCACCACAGATATGGGAAAGAACAGAGAGAATTTGTCATTCCTTGTACCTGGAACCTAAAGTGGATGGGGGAGTTAGAGGTAGGAAGTCCTGGAAATCTGGAAAGGAAAATTATGGTTCTTAAATATTTCCTTCATGAAAAATTCTAACTAGTATCTCTTGGGATATAAAATATTGAACTTAATTCATAAGTAAGATTTTAAATAGGAACTAAAAATTAATAATGTATATTATTTTTCCCTTTAGTATTTGGCCTTGCAGGACCTGATGTTACTCTCTCAGTATTCTCCTTCACGAAGACAAGAGATTTTTAGTCTTAGCCAACCAGGTATTGCTAAAACATGGCAAGGCATGTTTGTACAGAAAATGTTTCACTTAAAGTTTTTGATGAGTGTGAGTCCAGTAAATGTATTGATTTCAGTCTTAAACAGCCCAGTGTTTTCATTGCTATAGATAGAATTTAAGTCATCATAAAAAATTTAAGATTTTTTTATCTTATTTTCTTTAGCTCCCTCATTCCCTTTACCTGAAGAAATTATGAAGTAGATTGACAGTTTTAGAGAAGAAAAGCACAATTAAAGACTCCTAAAATTTTAATGCTGGAAAGACTTAAAAGTTAGTTCTGATCCCTAGTGGGAAATCTGAGAATCAGAGACTAAGTGACTTTACTCCAAGTACAGAGTTCTCTCCCCGATCTGCTACTTTGCCTCCTTTTATAAAAAAACGTAGGGAAAATGAAATTTGACAGTGACCCAAGGCTGCTCTGGGAAACTCTGAAACACTTCTCCGCTCTTGTTTGCCAACTCTTCAAGATTGCAACTTTGCCAGGTCTCTCTACCTTGTTCCTCAAGGTAATGCAGCCAGGCCTCAGCCACCAATAGGGAACAAAGACAGACCTTGAGTAATCGAATCAGCTCTTCATTATTTTGCCAGATTTACCAATATTCAGATTGTGCAATAAATCGTCTGTAGTTAACTGTTAGGAGTCCTGCTGTGGTGCTGTGGGTTAATGCACCAGACTGCAAAGCTGTTTGAACCACAAGGTTGGCTGTTCAAGCTCACCAGCAGCTCCTCAGAAACTCTATACAGGGTCACTATGGGTCGGAATTGACTCGACGGCACTTCCAACAGCAACGGTTAACTGTTATATGAAAATAAAAGTAACTGGAGACATTCTCCTTTTAGTAGCATGAAAAATCCAGAGCTGATGCTGTAGAAAATAAACCAGCAATACTTTTTATTAGATATAGGTTTATTTAGGAATTCTTTATACATTAAATATTTTCACCAGAGATTTAAGTAAACTGTTCCAGGGTGGCATGCTGTCTGTCAGAGAACTTGCATTCTAGGACATATCATTGCAAGTTAACTGGACTATTGTTTCTCAGTGGGCCTGAGTTAGAGCAGTACAGAGCATCTTGGGTCTTACTTATGGAGGTATTTTCTTTGTTGTTAAGTGATATTCATCAGAGTGTGGATCACAGTAGTTTAGATTAATTCGATAACCTATACATACGTATCCAGGTATAATGTATGATCATTGTTATATAGTAGTCTACAGATGTAACAGCAAATAGAGACAATTATACAAATAAAAACAAGAAATCACAATGTGTCAGTCACAACTGAGGACCATTTATTGTAGCATACTAGACTTGCTGGTGTTTATTTTCTGAGTCTCAGTCTGCTTAGTACTACTATGACCAATTTGAGAGTATTTTTTATGGTAAAGTAGCAAGCTTTTGCTTGTAGACTCTTGGAAAGATTCATTCAGTCCACCAATATTTATTAAGCTGCTGTGTGTGAGATGACACTAGTGTAAATAATAGCTTAATGAAGAAATACAGGCCCTGATGCAAAGTGTAATGTAACATTTATTGTTGAGTTCTCTCTCCACTTTAAGAGGAGAATATACGAGTGTGTGTATTTTAAAGGGTGGTGTTTCGACCTTCTAGGTGGACATCCTCACAATTGGACAGCCATTTCAAGGGAGTGCTTGAATCTTTTAAATGATATGACTCAGAAACTGATCCTTTACCAAGAAGCTGCTGCTACAAATGGCAGAGTGATATCATCATTCCCCACAGAACCTACGAAACTCAACTCTCCAGGTAACTCCTTGTACTACATAGGAAGAAACATTTAAAAGTTTTTCTAAGAAGATAGTAGTTAATCTAAAGGTAATCATGTAAATGTGAGCTTCATATGAGGAGACTTCGAAAAATTTGTGGAAAAGTGGAATTTAAAGAATTATTCCATCAACTTTTTGAAGCCCCCTCATACTTAGGAAATAGTGACCCAAATCACAGGATATTGTACTGAACTAAGAAAAAATTCTGTGTTTCATTGTAGATTGAAAAAAATTAAATCCAGTGTGGTGATGGTGTTAAAAAGGTTGACAAAATGTTAGTAATCAAATAGAAGACTATCTTACTCTAGTACAAAACCATGTGAATCTTTACAGATTCTTCTGGATGTTGTTGTGGTTGCAGTATCACAGAAACAGAGTTGCTGGGTACTGTCCAGAGAGGGGTAGGTTATTTCAAGATATCCTAATAATGTTGGAGTCTTGGTGTGGCGCTGTGAGATAAAGCGCTGGACCACAAGGTTGGCGGTTCAAACTCACTAGCCACTCCTTGAAAAACCCTATACAGGGTCTCTATGAGTTGGAACCAACTCAGGGTACTTAACAACAACAATGCTGTATAATGTTAGTACCTCTTCAGTTTGAATGATGAAGGTTTAGAGGAAGAAATGCAGATGAAAAAACCTGTGGGATTTCACCAAATCCCTTAAGTAGAAGATACCTGTGAATGCAAGACCACTAAAGTACTTAAATGTTTAGATGCCATTTGGAGCAGGTCCTTTAATGAATGAAACTGGCTGGGTGAGAAAGCAGTGATTTAGCTTCAGGCACTGTTTTCATGTGGAAATTTGGGCCATCAGTAGATAAAGTAGGGTCCTGTTGTGGTACTGTAGGATCAGCATTGGACTGCTAATCACAAGGTGAGTTGTTCAAACCCTGTACAGAGTTACTGTGAGTTGGAACTGACTCAGCAGCACTTAACAGCAAGTGGTTAAAGCACTTGAATGTTAACTGGAAAGTTGGTGGTTGGAATCCACCAGCTGTTTTAAAAGATAAAGTATCAGTCTGCTTCTTTATAGATTACAGATTTGGAAACCCTATGGATCATTTCTCCTCTGTCCTGTAAGTCAGAATCAGCTCAATAACAGTGGGTTTGATTTTTGTTTTACTTGAACTTCTGTCCTGAAGTCTAAAAATTTTAGGTTAAATTTTCTGCTGTTTACATGTTGGCAAATAATTCTGGTATGTGAAAATCACTATATCCATCAAAGCAGACGTGTTTTTTGTGTGTTTGAAGCAGGTATTTTGGAGTGGTCATGGACCACAAATATAAATAGATTACAAATGAAAAGCTATTAAGTAACTTCATGAGTGTCAGATTATAAAAAATCATAGGGTGTTTATACCAACTTTCACCATTGATTTATTCAACCAATACTGTATATCAAACATACTCTAGAAGCCAGGGAATCAAAATTGAAGAAACACTACTGGAATTGACCTTTCAGTAGGAGGCACACAAATAATGACAAGATTAAAAAACAAATGTCGTCAAGTTGGTTCGGACTCATAGCAACCATGTATAGGGTTTCCAAGGAGCAGCTAGTGGGTTTGAAATGCCGACTTTGTGGTTTGCAGTCCAGTGCTGATCCTACACCATCACAAATAATAAATGCTCCGCATTTGTGAGACCCATACTCCACAGAAGCCAGGTTTAAAATGATCGTTCTAATGTCCTAATTTGAGGTCATTAGCCTATTCAAGGAGTCCTGGTATGGGATTGTAGGAAACCCTATACAGAGTCCATATGAGACTGAATCAATTTAACAATTCCATCACTCAGGCAAAATTTGTCTCTAATTTTGAGGAATACAATAAAGCCCTGTGTTATAAACATCTGACAATGGACAACTCCTGGTTGCTCTTTTATGTTAATCTAAATTAGCTCTTACTTTGAACCAATTAAATCTACTCAGATTTTTCTGAACCTACTCAAAGTTTTCATCACTGTCACTTTCACTTGCTGAATGTTGTTGTTGTTAAGTGCTGTTGAGTTTGTTCTGACCCATAGCAACTCTATATTGGGTTTCCAAGATGTGGCCGGCAAGCTTGAACTGCCAATGTTGCAGTGCAAACCAACTTTGCAGTCCAGTGCATTAACCCACAGCGCCACACCAGGACTCCTTTCAGTTCATTGAAAAGACTTGGAACTTTTTGCACTGTTGTTGTTTAGTGCCTTTGAGTCAGTTCATACTCATAGCAACCCTCTGTAGGGTTTCCAAGGCATGGCTGGTGGGTTTGAACTACCGACCTTGAGATTAGCAGTTCAGTGTTTATTCTACATCATCACACCAGTACTTCCCTTTTGCACTGAAGTATATAAGGACTGTATGCAATTGTTCTACTTACATATAAGTTCAACTTAAAGATAACACTTAAGGACAAATCTCATTCACAACCTGCGGACTGCTATACAAAGCCCAGTGTTAATTTTTAAATTGATTTCTCCAGAGATTTCTAATTTCCACTAACCCTTAAAAAGTCATGTTATGAAAATTTGGTATTTTAAATGTTTGATGTCTTATAGTAACTTTGTTAAGATAAAATTCTAATATTTGTCTTTGTACCGTATACTGGCAGGAAAAATGTTTGTTTGCTTTTGTGCAACAAACTTTTTAAATTGATAGAGATGTGAGGGGTCTTCACAAAGTTAGTAGATAATTGGAATGAAAAGATAAATTTTTTGAAGCCCCTTTCTTGTATCAGATGATTTTTCAAAGAAGTTCTTTTAGATTAGATTTATAAGGTCAGATTTACAGATCTGGGCAAATTGGTCTTCAACATGACTTTTGTTAACTTGAAAGAACTTCAGGTAAAATAAGATAATTTGTTATTATTTTCTGTATGTTTTCACAATATAGATTTGGTACATTTAGCCCAGTAATAGGCACAGTAAGAAGATGCCAGAAAGCTGACCATATTTTAATGCGACGATAAAATAGCTGCCATTTGAAAATAAAATATAAAACTGTAAGCTCATTGAAAAATAGCCCAGAGATGAAAATATACATGGAAGGAGGAAAACTAGAGGAGCTGCCCCAGTCTGATAGAAGTAGATACATAAAACACCTTGTTTTTTATCAATTCTTAAATCTGAATATGAATGATCGTTGAATTGCAGTGGTAAATATGGATCTTGGAAATGTAAACCTACATGAAAACTACCTACTGAGCCACAGATAAATGCATTAAATAAGAAGTTGAGGTTTATAACATTTGAGAACCTTTGCTCTGGCTCTGTTCTTTTACAGAAGAAATTACTTTTCAGACGCCAAAGTCTAGCCAGATGACTCGGACTTCAGTGCCACCAGTAGCGAAATCATCTCTGTTTTCATCAAAATTATCTACGCCTGATATTGCAAGTCCCCTTGGGGCCCCTTTTGGCTCTGGTGTAATTAACCGGATGGCTGGAATTTTTGATGTAAACACCTGCTATAGCTCACCTCAGAGTCCTCAGCTAATAAGAAGAGGGCCAAGATTATGGACTTCTGCATCTGGTGAGGACTATTATTTTCTAAAATTTGAAATGTCAAAGTTAAAGAGATAGACAGCCTGTGCTCTGAATTTTCTTTTTTTTTTTTTTTTTATAGATCAACACTTAACTGAATTTTCAAATCCTTCTCCATCTACCTCTGTTAGTGCTGTGAGTAAGACAGTAGGACAACCCAGTGTGATTTATTCATGGATTCAGAATAAACGTGAACAGGTAGGATAATATGGCTAGAGGACTTCTGTTTGTATATGACATTGGGAGCATTAATGATATCATATATGAGTAAGCCCTCAGGAATAAACAGGTGAGTTTTTTTTGTTTTGTTTTGTTTTAACAAATTGCCACCATTCAGCTGGTTTTGATATGTACATATGGCAATTTCATTAGGCTTACCCTTTCATTAGGCACAAATGCTTTTCATATGTGAATTGTTTCAGTTAAGAAATATTGAGTTGTTTATACAAGGGGACTTCAAAAAGTTAGTGGAAAATAGAATGAAGAGATAATGGAATTTTCCCAAAAGCTTTTTGAAGCACCCTCCTATATGTGGACATATTTTTAGACACTGGATAAATAGCAGCAAACAAAGCAAAATCCTTGCCAATATAGTATTTACATTCTACTAAGGAAAAATAGTGAAGCAAGCAAATATATTGTATTTCTTTGACTGTAAAATGTATTAATTGTAAGGTTATTTTGTTTTAACTTTAGTTTGGATCACGTGAAGGTTTACAGAGCAGATTATCAGTTTTACTTACATTCAGCAGATTATACACTTCCATTTCATCTCAGTGATTGCAGTCTCCTCATTGTAATATCACTGATCCCATTTCCTCCCTGTGTTTCTTGTTTCCATTCCTCCTTCTTTCCCAACCCTTCAGAACTTTGTCCTTAGGTAAATGTCCTTTTGATCTTGAATGGTTGACCAGTCAATGGTTCATTTACCGTATTAGTGGTATTGCCCCCCTATATATCTATGTATTGCTTTGCTGAAAGTTGAGCTGCAGGCCTGGGTTCAGTTCCAGACCTAAAGGGTGACCAAGGGTCATAGTTTGAAGATTTCACCAGTTTCTGGTCTTTTTTATGATTTTGAGTTTTGTTCCACATTTTCTCACACTCTGTGCTAGGCCTTCTAATGTGATCCCTTTTAGAACAGTTATTAGTGGTAACCAGGTACCATCTAGTTTTTCTGGTCTTGGAGACTGATTCGCATTTGGTTCATTAGTCCACTGGACTAATTGTTTCCGTGCATCTTCAGTGTTCATCATTCTGTAAGGCTACTATTTTATGTACTATTAAGGAAAAAAGTTGCTAATTGAACTATGACATCCTGTCAGCTATGTTGTTGTTGTTAAGTGCCATTGAGTTGGTTCCAACTCATAGGAAACTCTGTATATAGGGTTTCCAAGGAGCAGCTGGTGAGCTTGAACCGCCAACCTTGTGGTACAAACCTACTTTGCAGTCCAGTGCATTAACCCACAGTGCCACACCAGGACTTATAATGTGGTGTTAAAATATAAAAAATCTGGGCCATAAAAGGAAAGGGATTTGTTATGATTTCTGTAAAAAGGATGAAGCAGGTAAGGGAGATAGAGGATACCTAGGGGAGGATACCTATGTAGGGGGTCAAGGAATGTTTCACTGATAAGATGACTTGATTAGAGAACGAAAAGGAGTCAGGGAATAACAAAATGTGGAAGTTCTGAGGTGAGCATGTGCTTGGCATAGATGAGGAACAACTGGTCACCAGTGTGTCTGGAGCACAGTGGTAGGTCTGTGACTAAGTCAGAGAACTAGCTGCCACACACAACACATCGGGCTGTTGTTGCCTCTTGTAAAGACTTTGTCTTTTTCCCATCATAAGGTGGAATGCCACTGGATGATTCTGCCCCCATGAGTGACATGATATAACAATGTTTTGAAAACAATGCTCTGCTGCTGTGTTGAGAATAGACTGTAGGAGGGTAGGAATGGAAGCCGAGAGACACTTCCAGTTAGCTAATGGTAGATGGTGATCTATTTGACCACTGTACTTGTGGTGGAAGTTGTAAAATGAGATCAGGGTCTGGATATATTTTGAAGGTTGAGGTAACAAGATTTATTTAATGGTTGAGTTGTGGCCTGTGAAAGAACAAGTCAACGGTGACACTAAAATGTTTGGCCTGAGGATCTGGAATATATGAGGGAACTTCACAAAGTTAGTAGAATAATTACATAATCTTTTAATTCCATTTTCCATGAACTTTTTTAAGCCCTCTTGTATAGTTAAGATTCATTGAGTTACAGTTTACTGATGCTGGAAGAGGAGACTTAATAAAGATGAGGGAGGAAATCATGAATTTCATTTTGGCCATGTCAATTCTGACATGCCTGTTAGCCCTGGTCAGGAGCACTGGTGCTTCTGTGGCCTAAGCATTGGGCTGCTAACCTCAAGGTCAGCAGTTTAAACCCATCAGCTGATCTGAAAAAGAAAGATCAACTCTCATGAAAATTGACAATCTTGGAGACGTTAAGGAGCAGTTTTACTCTGTCCTATGTAGGGTCACGGTGAGTTGGAATGAACTTTGTGGCATTCGGTTTGTTTTATTTGTTTTTTGGAATTGGCCTTGGTGCCAATGTGAGTTAAACATTGGGCTGCTAACTGCAAGATTGACAATTAATCCGACCAGCCATTCCACAGGAGAAAGTGGAGGCAGAAAGCATCAAAAAAGATGCAGGAATACACAGAGTCATTGTACCAAAAGGCAATGGTCGGTGTTCTTT